AGTTCAAAATACTGCTTATAAGGATGCTCAATGAACTTAGTGAGGGCCTCAAGAGCATAAAAAAGACCAGTCAGAAATGATGGATGCACAGTCAGAAATGAAGGAGGTATTAACTGAAATAAAGAATAATTTACACAGCTTCAATAATAGAGTACATAAGCCCAAGAAGCAAACCATTGATTTGGAATATAAGGAAGCAAAAACCGCCCAATCAGAACAGCAAAAAGAAAAAAGAATCCAAAAAAATGAGGATAGTGTAAGGAGCCTCTGGGACAACTTTAAGCGTGCCAACATTCACATCTTGGGGGTGCCAGAAGGAGAAGAGAGAGAACAAGAAGTTGAAAACCTGTTTGAAATAATAATGGCAGAAAACTTTCCTAACTTGGTGAAGGAAACAGACATACAAGTCCAGGAAGCACAGAGAGTCCCAAACAAGATGAACCCCATGAGGCCCACACCAAGACACATTATCATCAAAATGCAAAAGGTTCAAGACAAAGAGAGAATCTTAAAAGCAGCAAGAGAAAAGCAGTTAGTTACCTACAAGGGAGTTCCCATAAGGCTGTCAGCTGATTTCTCAAAAGAAACTTTGCAGGCCAGAAGGGAGTGGCAAGAAATATTCAGAGTGATGAGAAGCAAGAACCTTCAACCAAGATTACTCTACTGCAAAGCTGTCATTTAGAATCGATGGCCATATAAAGACTTTCCCAGACAAGAAAAAGTTAAAGGAGCTCTGGCCGGTTTGGCTCAGCGGTTAGAGCGCCCGCCTGCGGTCCGGAGAGACCCGGGTTCGGTTCCCGCTAAGGGCATGTACGTTGGTTGCAGTTTGTCCCCGGCCCTGGTTGGTCGTGCGGGTGGCAGCCACTCGATGTGTCCCTTTCACATCGATGTTTCTCTGTCTCTCTCTTCCTCTCTCTCCCTCCCACTCTGTACAAAAAATGGAAAAATGTCCTCGGGTGAGGATAAAAAAAAACAACAACAACAAAAAAAAGAAAAAGTTAAAGGAGTTCATCACCACCAAACTGTTATTATATGAAATGATGAAGGGTCTTTTTGAAGAAAAAGATAAAATATATGAACAAACAAAATGGCAATGAATACATATCTATCGACAATGGAATCTACAAACAAAATGAACAGGCAGAACAGAAACATTCTCGTAGATACAGAGAACATTTTGTTGGTTGCCAGATGGGAGGGGGGTTGGGGGAATGGGTGAAAAAGGTGAAGGGATTAAGAAGTACAAATTCATTGCTAGACTGACAAACCTCAAAGGGAAAGGGGTTGGGGGTGTGGGAAGAAATAAACCAAAGAACTTATAGGCATAACCAATGGACACAGACAATAGTGTGGGAAAAGGCGGGAGGGGGGCCGGAGTAGGGAGGAGAGAGTCAATGGGGGAAAAATGAGGAACATCTGTAATACATTCAATAATAAAGATTAAAAAAAAAAAAAAAGTTAGAACTAACATTCGAGATAGCAGTTAGAACAGTAGTTACACTTTGGGAAAGTAGTGACTGGTAGAGGACTTGAGAGGGGCTTCAAGGGTGTATTTTTTGTATTTTGTATTTTTTGATTTGGGTGTTGGTTACCCAGATGTGTTTTCTTTGTAAACAATGTTGAGATAAAAACTTGTGATATGTGTGCTTTTTTTTTTTTTTTTTTTTAATATGCATCTTATACTTTGATAAAATTTTTTTTTTTAAGTTAAGTTAGCCCTGGCTGGTTTGGCTCAGCGGTTAGAATGTCAGCCTAAGGACCGAAGGGTTGCAGGCTCAATTCCCAGTCAAGGGCATGTACCTGGGTTGCAGCTTTGATCCCCAGTCCTGATTGGGGTTGTATGGGAGGCAACCAATTGATGTCTCTCTCTCATGTTGATGTTTCTCTCTTTCTCTCTCTCTCTGTCCCTGCCCCATCTTCCCTTCTACTCTATCTAAAAAATAAAAGTCAATAAAAAAATATCCTCAGGTGAGGATTAACAACAACAACAACAACAAAAAAAAAACAGTTAAGCTACTGTCCTGGCCTGTTTGCCTCGGAGATTAGAGCATTGGCCTGTGGACCAAAGGGCTGTGAATTCAATTCCTGGTCAAGGGTATGTACCTGGGTTGCAGGTTCGATTCCCTGGCCCCAGTCAGGGTCATGTTGGAGGCAACCAATTGATGTGTCTCTTTCACATGAATGTTTCTCTCTCTCTCCCTCTCTCACTTCTACTTTACCTAAAAATATCCTTGGGAGAGGATTAACAAACAAAAGTTACTATATACCCAGTATAAACCCAAATGAATTGAAAAACATGTTCCCACAAATATTTCTACACAAATGTTCATAACAGCATTACCAATAATCACCCAAAGGTGGAAATAATTTAAAAATCCATCAACTAGACTGTGTGGCTCAGTGGTTGAGCATCAACCCATGCACCAAGAAGTCGCTGGTTTGATTCCTGGTAAGGGCACATGCCCAGGTTGTGGGCCTTATCCCTAGTTGGGGGTATGCAGGAGGTAGCTAGTCAATGTTCTCTCTCATCAATGTTTTTCTATCTCTCTCTCCCACTCCCTTTCTCTCTCTCTAAAATCAATAAAGAAAAAAAAATCCATCAACTAATAAACAAAATTTAATATATCCATACAGTGGCATATTATTCAACTATAAAATACAATGAAGAACTGATACAAGGAATCACATGGATGAACCTTGAAAACATTACTGTAAGTGAAAGAAACCAGTCATAAAAGACCATATATTGTATGACTACATTTATATGAATTGCCCAGAATAGGTAAATCCATAGAGACAAAAATAAGACTGGTGATTGCCAGTGCCTTTAGGGTAGGGGATAATTGGGAATGTTTGTGTTTTTTTTGTTTAGGGTGGTGACGAAAATGTTCTGGAATTAGATAGTGGCAATGGTTGCACGATCTTAAAGATATTACAAATGAATGGACTGTACACTTTAGAACAGGGAATCTTATGTGAAATTTAAAGTTATATGAATTGTGCCCTGGCTGGTTTGGCTCAGCGGTTAGAGCGTCGGCCTATGGTCCAGAGAGACCCGGGTTTGGTTCCCGCTAAGGGCACGTACTTCGGTTGCAGTTTGTCCCCGGCCCTGGTTGGGTTGTGTGGGTGGCAGCCACTCGATGTGTTCCTTTCACATCGATGTTTCTCTCTCTCTGTTCCTCTCTTTCCCTTCCACTCTATCTGAACAAAAAAATGGAAAAATGTCCTCAGGTGAGGATTACCAAAAAAAAAATTTTAAAAAATAAATAAATAAATAAATAAATAAATAAATAAATAAATAAATAAAGTTATATGAATTGTATTTCAATGAAAAAGATAGTAAATATTTTATCATTCAAAATATATGTGAACTCTAGCATATCAAATAAAATCTCAAAGGGAAAAGCATTATTCTAACAAATGTTCCCTTTCTGCCTGCCTATCTCCAAGATCAGCACATCTTAGAAGTGAACTTTAGATACCACTGGAGAATGGAGGTCTAATCAGCAAACCAGGGACTGGTTAGTAGGTAAGTTACAATTAGGAATGAAAGCTGTGACCAATATTGATTGCCCCTGAGCAGAGGAATGTGGTAGCTGATGAAAAACAGATCTTAGGCTGGAGCAAGGGAGAGAAAGTGGTGGTGACAAAGTGTTGGCAGCCCTGGCACTGGGTTGCTTTCCATTGCTTCATCTAGGGTCATGCCTTAGGAATGAGTAGTCCTTAACTGATATAAGCTTAGCAGAAAAAGGCCCCGAGATACTTCTTACCCTTTACTTTTTTTTTTTTATCCTCACCCGAGGACATTTTTCCATTTTTTGTACAGATAGAGCGGGAGGGAGAGAGAGGAAGAGAGACAGAGAAACATCGATGTGAAGGGACACATTGAGTGGCTGCCACCCGCACAACCAACCAGGGCCGGGGACAAACTGCAACCGAGGTACGTGCCCTTAGCGGGAACCGAACCCGGGTGTCTCTGTACCGCAGGCCGACGCTCCAACCGCTAAACCAAACTGGCCAGGGCTTACCCTTTAGTTTTAATTCTATTGATGGCTTTGCTTGTACATTTTAAAATATTTATAGTGTTTTGAGTATTCCCCAAAGTTACCCAAATCATAGATTTATTTGGGAAGAAACCAGATTTCCAAGACATTGAAAGTGCCTGGATTTACATATCAGGAACAAAACTAGGCTAATATTTTTAAGGGTAAAAAGGGAGCAGGGGAAGCTCAGATTTAAATGAATTGAGAGTTTAAAGGACTTAAAGCTCAGCTAAATTTCATTTGGTTCTAGTTCTCATCCTCACTGTGTTCCTAAGCCTACAGTCCCAAAGTGCAAATGAAGCACCCACTGGCAACTTAGATGGACAGAGAGTAAGGTGTTTTCTTGGTATTTTGAAATGATGCTTGTCTGCCTCTGTGTACTAGACGTTTAAATATACGTAGGAGAGGTAGTAAGACTGAACGGAAACTGATTAACAGCTGTCCTGAAGTCTGAAATCCCAGGATTGTTCAAACACTCCCGTTGTGATTATCTCCCTTTCCTTGAGCCTCCTTTTGTCTACTCATACCCCCTCCTCTAAGGACATACCTATTTTTTACCTTGATTCTCGTATGGACCAGTAAGGAAGGCTGAAATCAAGATATGAGATGGTCTCCTTGCTGGGAACATTTGGAACCAGGATCCAGGAGGCATGGGAAGATCTAAACTCCATAGCTTTAACATAAGTATTATGGCACAAATGGGTGATGAAAGTTAGGAGATAATTTGAGATGAGGAGTGGCAAGTTTAAAAGATATCCATTCTATGTCCAACTTCATCTTGTTCCTCCTCTACTGGTACAAAGATACAAACATACATATTTGCTTAACCAACTCACCATTTACTGGCAGCTAAAGTGACAGGGCCTTCTCCACAACCATTCCTGCCCCAGCAACCATATCCACCTTCTGGAAGTCAGACCCTAGAGGTGACTGCCTACTGGCCCCAAGGGCACTCACCATTTCTCTGGTATCTGTGGCTTCTATGCCTGCCTTCTTGGGGCAGAGATGTTTTCCACAGTCCTTCCTTCTGGAAATCCAATTACTTCTGCAATTACTCCTGAAAAGAAAGGAGGATAGGATAGGTGAGAGTCAGTAAATGTCATCATGATTTATCCTTATGTAGGTAGGCTGTAGGGGAGCTGGATAGAACTTTAGTATGGGCAAAGTATCAGAGAGATTAAAGAAAAAGAATACCTTAGTATCGTTGATTTTATCTCTTTGCTATCTTTCTCCATATCTTCTACCATTACTTAACTCTGTCTCCATTTTTACCCTGCTCACTCACTTCCATTAAACATGTTCATTTCCCTTATTTTCTGCAAAACTCCTTTCTTGCCTGATCCTCAACAAGTAGAAGGAAAAGCCAGTAAAGCTTTCAATCAATACATCTAAATATATTATCTTGTTTTTTTGCATGCAACAAAGACTTTGTGATATATTTTGTGTACCTTCATTAAAGTAAGTTTTGTGAAGACAGGTATCTTAACTTGCATAATTTAATGTCCAAGTGCTTATAAAGCATGAAGGGAAATGCATAACCAGCTCAACAGAGGTAGAGGCAAGAGAAAGGGAACAGAATAGAGGAAGAAAAAAGAAATGGTTTTCTTTAAGAATGGAGACTCTTAAAGAATGTATTGTTCAGCCTTATGGGAGTAGAGGAATTTAGGGAGCCTTAAGGGAAAAGCAGCAAGACCTGTTTGTAATGATGGAAAACTGGAGAGAGACAACTTTTTTAAAAAAAACAACCACAATTTTTTAATACATAAAAGTATATAAAAGAAAAACATGGTCTATAATCCCACAGCACCAGATAACTCTTACTGACATAACTATTACATATTTTATGTGTGTGTATATATTTTGTGTATAAGATATTTGTATTTTATATAAAATGCATTTTCATGGTCAGAATGTTTGAAACAAAAGAGATACAAAATAAAAAGTGAAAAGGGAATTCCTCTTCCCTCTTCCAAAGCCAACCTTTTTTGGTTAGTGTTTTTGTTTCCTTCCAGAAATAAAATTGGCAGCTTGATATAGTTTTGATGAGGTGACAAGATGATGTTCGGCCATGAAGGGTTGAATTACTCCTGTAGCCAAATCAGAGGGATTTGAGGTTTGACCAATTGATTTCAATATGCCTATGAAATTTGGCTGGAAGGAGAAAACGAGCCACCTGAAAATCAGAATCTCCAAAGCCTATTATTACTAACTCTAAGGTCAGTTTACCACTTCACATCCTCAGTTTTTCTTCTAAGAGTTTCTGGGCCAGTGTGTCCTCCTTCTGGCCTGACACCACTATTCCAGAATGCTAGTCTAATGAAGGGGCCACTGGCAGCCTTGATATGCACTCACTGTAATAGGCAGTGCTTTGTATGCAAAATTCAGGACAGAAGCAAGAAGACAGTTGGCTTCTGGATGACTAAGCACCCAGCAAATAAAATCAGCAATTTACAACTTTTACCCACTTATAAATTACTAAATATTAACAATTAGTTAATAAAAAATAGTTACTATTACCACATTCTTTTTTTTTAAATCCTCACCTGATGCCCCCCCCCCCATTGATTCTAGAGAGAGGAAGGGAGAGAGAGAAAGAGAAACATAGATGTGGGAGAGAAACATCAATCTGCTGCCTCCTGTTATGTGCCCCAACCAGGGTTCAAACCCATGACCACTGAGCCACACCAGCCAGAGCCCCACATTGACTCTTTTTTTTTTTTTTGCATTTATCTTCAGGTAGAGTGGCAGGGAGAGAGGGAGGAAGAGAGAAAGAAACATTGATGTGAGAGACACACATTGAGTGGTTGTCACCCACACGACCCCAACTGGGGTCGGGGACAAACTGCAACTGAGGTACGTGCCCCTAGCAGGAACTGAGCCCTGGACTCTGGTTGGCGGGTGGATGCTCTAACCACTGAGAAAACCAGCCAGGGCCACATTGACTCTTAATGAATTTTTATTGAGCATTCTTTTTGTGCCAGGCAACCATGCACTGTAAACACAATGATGAAAAAAATAGTAAGCAATGACAGACTATCCTGCTTTGGAGAGTTTATAAACTAGCTGGGGGGAAGGGAGATATATATTAATCTAAGAAACACATAAAAGTAAAATTGCAACCACCTTAAGTGCTACAATGAAAACATACACGATCTTAGAAAATGTATAAGGGTTGAGAGCAAATCAAAATTGGTGATGATATTTTTAAAATTATTTTTTTATTTTAGAGAGAGGAAGTGGGAGAGAGAGAAAGAGAACCATCAGTTCCTTGCTCCACCTATCTATGCACCCATTGGTTGATTTTTCTTATGTGCCCTGACTGACATTGAATCTGCAACCTTGACTTATCCAGACAATGATCCAACTGAGCTACCTGCTCAGGGCAGTGGATTTTCTTTTAAGGGCAGAAGATTTTCTTTGTAAGTTCAACTGCTTGGCTTATCAATAACTCCTTATTTAAAATTACATAACCATTATTGCAAAATTAAACTCTAAATACAGAAGAAATGTGCTCACAACCTCAAATAATTTTCATTTGTCTATTTTCCTAAAATATTGTTAATAAGTGAAAATCTTGCTTATTACATTCTCATCCTGGGCTTGGTAGGTAAGCTTTATTGAGGTGAGAATCAAGGTTTAGGGATATATATTTTTAAAAACCCCACCCCACTTCCTTTATATGCCATCTCCTCTCTGAACTCATTTCTACCTTTTTATTAAAAAAAAACCAAAAAACAAAAAAACACTTAAAATCCCCACTGGATGCCTGTATCCTATATTCCAGCCCCATCCTCCACCCCCAAATACACACATACCTCTCCCCATTCTTCCTCAGTCCCTGAACCTGGCAGTCTGACAAATGGGCATATGTTCTGTCTTGCTTTGCTACCAAAACATTAGCTAACTTTTTTACTTTTTTAAGAGATGGAGTGGCATGGGGTAAAGTGGGAATACTTAACAGAAAGGTTATTAAGAGTCTTATGCATCCTGAAGCTAGCTGTGAACGGGAGAAAGACGGCTTATAAAGCAAGAGGTCTCCATTCACAAAATCAAGGGCAGTATTTAGGGCGTTATTTATACAACTTAGGTAAAATTAGGTGTTTGCTCACATTTAAACCTAACTTCTCGTCCATTATTCTCACAGTTGAGAGGATCCAATAAAAATTGCTTCTGATGTTTGCAAAAATGTAAAACAGTTATATACCATAAGCCACATGTAAAGATTGGGGCCCACTCCTTGCTTGTGACTTTGTCTCCTAAGGTAAAAATTTATTCAGTACCATGATAGTACTGAACATTTAGGAGTTGGCAACTGGGTTAGAGTTCTGCCCTTTCCTTCACATGGCTTCTTTGGATGGGCTCCAAAGCGAGATCCCACTGATTAGAGGAAGCCAGCATACTTCCTGCCCAGACCACAGAATCCTAAAAGCTCTCCCTCTGTTGGTTTCAAGGCAGATATGAACAAAGTTGCTTCAGCTGTTACAAGAAGCATTATTCTAGAAAACCCTTGAGAATGGCAGATGCCTTTGGTATAAAGCTTCAAGTTATCAAGAGAGTACAAGAGAAGTTGCTCAGAGTATCCCAGCCCCAGCTACTTGAATTAGTTCTGCCCTTCCTAAATTTCGCCTCTCTTCCTTTCCCTTCTCAAGTGGTTCCCTCCTAACCTGGAAAAAGATTCTGACTCCCTCTGAGATGAAGTGAGGTTAGGTGCATTATCTGAATAGGATTAAGAGTTTAAAATGCCTGAAAATCTGGCATGTTACCCTCTTTTCTCTGAATTCTCTAGAATGAGGAGTTTTCTGGATAAACAAATATATCTCCTGGGTTTACATTTTTCTAAAGGGCACCTTCTGAATCAGTCTGGTTTCCAGGCCAGAAAAGTGCATTGAATCTTAAAAAGCAGCCCTAAACAGCCCAGCCAGTGTGGCTCAGTGGTTGAGCGTCAACCCATGCACCAAGAGGTCGCCAGTTAGATTCTCAGTCAGGGCACATGCCCAGGTTGTGGGCCCAATCCCCAGTGGGGAGCATGCAGGAGGCAGCCAATCAATGTTCCTCTCTTTTAAAAAATCAATAAAGATAAAAAATGTAAAAATATCAATAAACACACACACACACACACACACACACACACATTTTTAGAGGTGGGGGTGGGGGAATTCCTGTGGCATTGTGAGGTGAAGTAACATGTCCCAAATCACAAGGCAAACGGCTGAGGAACATTCAAGGACCTAACTCTCCCAAATCTGTGCCCTTTCCACACATGATGAAGAGAAAACAGGATAACTTCTAAATAAACATTAGTCAAGGCTCTAGAAAAAGTAAATAGCTTGCCCTGGCCAGTTTGGTTCAGCAGTTAGAGCATAGGCACACGGACCAGAGTCCTGGGCTAAGGGCATGTACCTTGGTTGCAGTTCATCACTGGCCCCAAATAGGGTCGTGCGGGTGGCAACCAGTTGATGTCTCTCTCTCACATCAATGTTTCTCTTTCTCTTCCTCCTTCTCTTGTTCCATCTGAAGATAAATGCAAAAATGTTCTCGGGTGAGGATAAAAAAAAAAAGTAAATAGCTTCCCCCAAACTCAAAGTAGAGATTCTGCATCTCTGCACACAAGGAAACAGTGACAAAAAAAACCCCACAATTTTTAAAAAAGATTGGCAAGTTTGCATTATTTTTGAGCAGTTGGGGGAGGGGGTTGCGGGGGGAACAAGACTCTAAAGCCTCTGTTGAAAGAGTTTATAGATTGCTGACAATAGATGTCAAGAGGAAACTGGAACAGATGTTAGAACACCTCAAGACCAAGCTCCTTGACTGATTCCCAAGAACACTCTCAGCAAGAACCTCAGTGTTCTTAGGAAAGCTCAGTAAGGGTATATAAAAAGTTTCACGATAACAAGAAGCCAAAACTAGACCACTGTCCTCTACTTACTACCCATCTAGGTAGCACTGGGGCACAGGCTATAACCTAACAATCTGACATTTAAAAAGTAGCCCAAAAAACAATTGGAGGGAGTATAGACAATAGGGCACTGGGGGTTCATTGCTTTAGTTTTCCTGTGGAGGTCAAATGTGTGTGGTTTCAAAACAAAAATCCAGAAAGAAACATGAGATTAATGCATTTATTCCAAGTAATTAACACATTAAAAATAAAGTTAAACTTGTCCAAGCCAACTCATAAATTCTTTAATCTTTTGAACAAAATGTACAACCCAAAACATCACACTATGGTGGAAGTAATTTGGGAAAGGTAGAGGAAGGAATACATATGGGTTGTGGAACAGAGAATAAATCCAATCCCAGAACAAGTTTCAGATCATCTACCTCTTCAGAACAGAAATGGCTGCTAATGTAATTAACACAAAGTGTTACTGCATCACAATACAATGAACAAAGGCCATTTTGAAAATAAAAGTAACCTAAAAAGCATATCTGCTCCTGGCACTGAGCCATGAATAAGCCTTACCGATTTGTCGTCTTCCCAAAGTGAGACTGCTAGATTTTCTTCCATGTTTACTGAGGCCATTTCCAAACAGGTTTGTGGGTTAGCAGGACCATTTCAAGAAAACCAACAGAATGAGGGAAGTACGAGGGTTGACATGCCACAAGGAAGTAAACAGTAAACAAAAGAGCTACTCACGCTGCATTTCAAACAATCTTAAGGCAGGCCCATCCAAATGGAAGCCTAAGAGAGGAACAATCCTTCCTTCATCAGTTTTCCATTTCTGCAGGCTTTCTGGTGTTTCTCCCAGAGACCCATCAAGCTGCCCAGAAAATTGAGTGGGGATACAACACAGCAATTGGAGAAGTCAGCTCTCTGTCTTCCTCATCCCCCACATTCCAGAAATGGCAGAGTCAAAGGCAAAATACAATCAAAGCACACTATGTGGTGAGCCAGACAGACATTTGATTTTAATGACAAGTAGGAGAAAATAAATTGGCAAAAAAAAAAAAAAATTAACAGAAAGTACTTTTTACAGAGATGTATAGAAATTATGATTGATTTGTCTGATATCTTAAGGAGAAAGGAAAAAAGGAAAGGAGGTAACTTTTTTAGCTTCCATGAACATTTAAGATGCTGACTGCATCTCGGTGTAGGTTCCAGATGAGATAGCCAAATAGTCCTGGATCATCTGGGCACTGGATTTCTAGAAGCCAATTTGATTCATTCACAAGCAGCTCTGGGTATCACTCATGAACACTGGATTCTATGTGGTCCTGTATGGCATCAACTGAAGCTTCTTGTGCAAGTATTT